TGAAAATAATTTCAAAACACACTATATATAAAAAAGTGTACCACCCTTTTCCCACATGATGTCTCCTTCCTGTTGGTATGGCAGGCTTTTGGAATGAAAGCAGTCAGGTTAGTTGCACGTGCCTGCTGCTGAGGAGCTATAGCTTTGCTGTTTTGTGTTTCACTAGAGATGTGTGTATCAGTCTGTCCCCAGCTGGTAAACTGTAATTCTGTCTTATTCAGTTACTGCATTTATTTTCAGACTCAGCTTTCTCTAACATATGCATCTTGTGTATATCTTTCCCAATATGCATGTGTGACAGGAACCATGTTAAATCTGCCTGGTAACAGGGAAGCAAGATGATTGGCTGGGTGGTACATGCAGCCAGCCTATCTGGAAGAGCCCAAAGGAGGAGTGGGATGGAGGAGGCAGTGGCAGGACGCAGCAGGGGGAGTGGGAATTGGGAGGGGCAGGCTGTGTGGGTGGGAGGCACTGGGCTGTCTAAAAAGAAACATTCCTGAACAAACCAACACCCTGATTCATGGTTTGTTTGGGGGGGGGGAATGTAATTTCCACAAACCAAGATGACCAACCATTTTAGCAGTATGTGCCCATCTCTAGTTGGAACTGTAAAAGAACTGAAGCTTAGATCTGTTTCCCAAGTTGATGTTACTTTGTAATAAAGAGAATATTATGTTTCATTCTTCCATTCTTTAATTATTGTTGTACTTAATGCTTTAACAGGAAATTTTCCTTGATAGTCAACCAAAATCTGGCTTCCTATAACATGAGGCCATTATTATGTGTCCTTCATTCTGGGATAATTGAGAATATATCCCGTCCCTCCTCTGTATGGCAGTCTTTCAAGTATTTGAAAAAACGGTATCCTATCTTCCCTCAGTCTAAAGACTAAAAATGACAGTTATTTTAGGCTTTCCTCATAGGGCATCGTTTCCAGCTCCCTGATCATTCAAGTTCCTCTGAACTTGCTGCAGTTTGTCAGCATCTTAAAATGTGATGTCCAGAGCTGGACACAATACTCAAGATGAAGCCTAACAAGTGCCAAATTAAGGGGAGCTAGTATTTCACAGGATTTGGATACTATACTTCTGTTCATGCAAACTAAAATAGCACTGGACTGTTTTGCAGCCATATTGCACTGTTGACTCATTCAGCTTGTGATCTACAACAATTCTAGGAAGCTTTTTGCATGTTGTACTACTGTGCCAAGTATCCACCATCTTATAACTGTATTTGTTTCCCTCTTCTCCCCAGGTGTAGAACTTTACACTTATCCCTGTTAAATTTCATTCTGTTTTCAGCCTGGTGTTCAAGCCTATTAAGATATTTTTGAATTTTGTTTCTGTTTTCCAGGGTATTCTCTATACCCAATTTTGTGTAATCTGCAAATTTCATATGCTTTCCACGTACCTCTTTATCCACATCATTAATAAAAATGTGGAAGAGCACAGGCCCCAGGACTGAGCCCTGAAGTGCACTATTTCTTACCTCTTCCCAGTTTGAGGAGGAGTTATTAATCACCGCCCTCTGAGTACAATTCTGTAGCCAACTGTGTATCCACCTGACAGTTGTTCTATCCAGCCTTACACCTAGTTATCTCGCTAATCAAAATATCATGGGGCACTTTGTCAAAGGCATAGCTGAAGTCAAAATACATTACATCTAAAGTATTCCCATCATCTACCAGGGAGGTTACCTGATTTTTAAAAACTGAGATTAGATTAGTCCGGCAGGATTTGTTCTTGACAAATCCATGTTGCATTCTAGTTATTACTGCATTGTTTTCAAGGTGCTTGCAGAGTGATTGGATTATAATCTGCTCCAGAATTTTCAATAGGTTTGATGTCAGCCTGACTGACTATTTTGTTTCTTTGAAGAAATTATGTTGTGGGAGAAAAAAATGGGCTGATCACCATGAATACAATTTTTCTTAGGATCTAATTTGATCCTCACACTTTAAATATGGAAGCAAGGTGCACTTACTATGCAGCATTTCAAGGCTGTGCAAGTTCTTTGCCATTGCACATAATTACAGCAACCACAAGATGTCACAATTTCTCTTTAAAAAACCCAAGAAGAAATAAAACTGACACAGGAAATGTCATTTTTAATACAGGCCCTGAGATTTTGTGCTAGGATTATTCTTAACAATTTTGTACATTGTGTTAGCTCAAAAGTTCCCAATGTGGGACTCGTATGACAACTCTCAAATGACATGCCCCCCGCCAAAATTCCCTATTCCTTCTGTTTTTTAAATCCTGTATGTTAATGGTGTAGTGAACGTCGTGCATACAATCTTCCTATTTGCAGAAATATATTTAGTGGGAAAAATTATAAATTTACTTGCAGAAATTCAAGGAAATAAGTGCTTTATCCTTTTTCAAAATGGTTTGTCTGCTGGAGTAAATGTATGGATTCTGTAGGAATTTTTGAAAGGCTAGAGGAGCACCATTAAAGAGAAGGGGGCACACACACACCTAAATCTCAATCCAGTCGCGAGAAGGGGGCATCAGTCTACTTGCACACACACACCTAAATCTCAATCCAGTCTTCTGTCTTTATAACACTTGGCAACATAGGAAATCACTTTGTATTCAAGTCTGATACTTGGTCCATTTAGCCCAGTGCTCCCAGTGCTATCAACACTGACTGGCAGCAGCTGTCTAATGTCTGATACAGAATTCTTTCCTAGTTCTGCCTGCAGAGGCCAGTGGATTGAAATGGAGATCATCTGCATGCAATACAGTAACTCTAACACTGAGCAGTGGTTCCTCCCCTTGTCATCTCTGGTATTCTGATTCTTATAAGAGAACCTCCTTGTGTCAACAATCTTCAACTATCAAGATGGTATCCAGAATCATCTACTTTAAAACAACTTTAAAATACAAAATGGAGAGCCTCAGACTCTAACAAATAGTTAAGTACAAGCAAACATTCATTTTGGAAATAAAATCTTAAAAATGAATACATGTATGCAGCTATGCTAGCGAAATCTATTAGAAGCTAGATGTCTTCATGAAAGTTGCCTAGCCACTGCATGACACCTCATTTTTCTGCAATATGTCAGCTTGCACTAGACTCTTCCATGGCAAATTCTGGAACCACAAACAGACCCCATTTGCAGATTTCTAGGTCATTTGGTTTTAAGTGTTCTTTAATTAGTTTATCCTTCAATATTTTCTCCCAAAGATCATTCAAAAACCAGATTTCCTCGCCTCCGCTCAACTAGACCGAGGTGAAAGGAAGCATGCACACATATTTTCATCCAGAATGTAACAATTCCCAGACTACAGATACTTTTTAAAACCACAAGGAAATAGAACTCTCAAATTTGAAATGACATGTTCGCTCATTCCTCTGTCCTATATCAACTGATCTTACGGCAAAGCACAATCACTAAACTGATCTTAAAGCAATCTCAAGAAATGCATATATTTTAAAAGAATGCTAAACACTTCAGCTGGATGCCAGGTGGATGCAACTTCACTACACAGTGATCCAGAACTCTTCTCAAATTTATTTCCTTTCCTTCCTTCTCTTTTAAAGAAGGGATGGCTTGCTCTGCCATTGCCTGTCATAAGTCAGAGTGGGAGAATCCAGAGATGGCTCCAGGACAACATCCTGCCCAGGCTTTGCTCTGCTCTGGCAGTGCCACAGGTTTCCCATCTCCAAGACACAGAGAAAGATGCTTCCCCCAAGACAGTCACTCTCCCATGGGCCCAGGAATGTTGGCTTCCTTAAAGAAGAGAAATGATTGCTTTTCTACTTGGTCTGTTTGAAACTCGTGTGGAAAAATCCAAGCTATTTGATGGGAAGGGGCTGCAGGCTGCACGGTGTAGTACAATATACAAGCATTTCAACAAAAAATACAGAACAAAACAAAAGCAAAGGTACAAGTTTCTTCAAAGGTGCCAGTTTCATCCACCAGTTTAGCTATTTTGAGCAATATCCTCCTCGCTCCAGCAGAGGTCACTTCTATACACAGAGATGTGTAGAACATAACTGGGAAGGGCCAGGATGGAGAATACTGATCTAGAGCATGGATTAAAAACCAGTTACATTAAGCTTTGCAGCCGATCTGTATCTGTCTTCCTTTCTCCCTACTCCCCCTGCCCCAAATCAAGAAAAAAAACCTTACACTTCAACAGGATTGACCATTTTTATGTGAACTGAAACAAGTTTATAAAGAAGGGTGGTTTTATTCTCAGTAGAGTAAGACTGTAATGCAGCACTTAAGTAGCTATAACAGCAAAGCAAAGGTGTAGGATTCTTAACCATAAATATTTTTGGTATCTATAAGCATATACAATAATCTTTGTGATTTTTCTATCTCTTCATCCATTCAGAATGAAGAACTAAAGTGAAATCCAATATCATCATAAAAATGAGAGAAGACAGAAAGAAGTGCTCTTACTCTTTCATCATTTGTATGATTCTTCCTGCAAAGTGGTACTTCCTTTAACCCATATCATCCATGTTTTTTCGACTGATGTTCTTGGCTCTTTCCTGGTTCCTGTTCCTTCCACCCTCATTATCTCTGTGAAAGGAACGCCACAGACTTCTCTTGCCATAACTCCCATTCTCTGCTTGCCTTAAAGCTTCTGCCTACTCTTACATGGCAACATCAGCTTTCCAGTGCAGTCCCCTGCCCTACTGTTGCTACCATGATCAAGCTTTCTTCTTTTTTTCCAGGCTATGCCTCAGACTCTCTCCAAGCCTTTTAAAGCTATTAAAGAAGTGGATAAATGTTAGAATAATTCAGATCTGAAGAAGTGCAATCGAGCCAGCTACCTGAATCCATTGAGATTGATCACTTTCTCAGAAGAAATACACAATGTCAGACTTCAGACTGTTTTGCTGGTCTTTTAGAATTACATTCACAAACTCAGAGCAAAGTTACAATAACTTGATTGTTGTTGGTTTTTTTGGGATGTTTGCCCGTGTTCTGGAGGTTTTAAATTAAGTTGCTTGCATACAGTAATAATCTAAGCAATACTTACACACCACATGATGACCAGCCTTCTAGCAATGTATGGATTAATGCTCCAGTAACTGAATGGAAGGAATGTAATGTAGAAAACCTCTTGACCCATTGCAGCTGAAATCCTGAACAAGTAGTAGTAGAAATAGTTCTTTACAACATACTCCTGCAAACTGTCCTAAGAAAGAAATATTTTATGTGTTAATAAGTTTCTTGAGAGGAATCAAATGTTACATTTAATTTTTCAGCAATTTTGAAATCCCCATAAATGTATGTTATTTAAGCAATTTATTTCCATATCAATTAGCTTTCAACAACTAAAGCTAATGTTTCAGTTGACAGAATGGCAGGATGCAGCTTCTTTTCCCTGATATGCAAATGAACTAGACTTTAATTTATTGGGGAAAGATGAATGGATTCAAATGAGCTCATAATACGGAAGGGAACAGAGATATCATACTTAACAGGTGGGAAGCCTCTGGCTCTCCCAATATGTTGGTGTACAATTCCCATCAACCCCAGTTAGCATAATCAGTGCCATGAGATCGTGGCATATAAATTTCAAAAACTATCTCAAGGACCAAAATTCCCCTGGGTTTTCTCTTTGCCATACTTGTTCTCTCCTAACTCTGCATCAATAAGCTTGGGAATTACTGAAATACACTATGAACAAGTTTGGAGAAGTTATAGGTTAAAGCTAAGGGAGAATTACACAGGCTTTTCGAGACACAAGCCAGAAAAATATATGTTTAGAAATGTATATTGTGAGCGTTTCAAATGATTAAATTTACTTGTCAGAGATAATATTGTTTTATTTTGTCCTAAAATTTAGTCTGTGATATCTGAATGGTTAATTCCACCCTCCTTCTTCTAGCAAGGATATAGTTTAGCCACAATATGCATTTCTACATATTCTATTTACCAGACAAGTTATTTTATACAAGCCAGATGGAAAAACTCAAGGAGAACTAACAACACTTTGGGGGGGAAAGCTTCAACAAAGATATATTCAGTTGGGATATACTCCTCTCTCCCCCCCCGTCTCTCACACAAATAAATGCCAGTTAAAGGAAGGGAGAGATACAAAACTACAACATTTACTGGCACTTAATTTTTTGTTACATTTGTAGTCCTCCCCAATATGCCCACTGACCCCACAACTACCCTCTAATGAAGATCAGACTGAGACAGGCAGGCAGAGGCTGGCCCAAGGTTACCTACTCAGTTTCATGGCTTGGTGGATACTAAAAACGAGATCTCCCAAAACCCAATCCATTCCAATAAACCCTATACTGTAATATGCCGGCTTCCTGAGGGAAAAAAGAAGGAAAGATGGGAAAGAGAAGGTCAGTCTGGATGAACCTGGGAGCTAATAAAGGACACTGAGAAAACCACACCGATCAGTGGGAAAACAATGCAGCAGAGTTTTAGAACAGATAGTCCACCCTGCCCAAAAAAAAAAGGAGGAGGGGGGGACAAGCTAAAGGCTAAGGCCAGACAGTTGGCTATGTGGTATGTATTTCTTTGAATGCCTTCCAGGCGGAAACACATTGCCATCATTAAAAATGATTAAGACTTTCTCTTTTCCTCCAAGAGTCCAAGCAGGAATGATTTCAAAGTATGACACGATGCATACAAATATCATGTAGAGACTGGCAACTACAAAGCTTTGGAAGGAGCTTAGATCACAGAAGGGCAAAAAGCCATGCACCATTTCAAGAGAGATGTACAGTGGGGTCTTGACTTAAGAACGGCTTGAGTTAAGAACATTTTGACTTAAGAACCGCTCTCATAGGAAAATATTGACTTGACTTAAGTACTTAGATTTGAGTTAAGAACTGAAAAAAAAACCACGTGGGAGGCAGGGAAAGTGCAAAATTTGAACTTTCAGTTAACTGTTGGCCAGTGAAAAGGGTGCCTGTCTGCTTCCTCACTCCTCCCAGCGTTTAGAGAGTGGATTGGGAGACAGTCTTCAGACTGCCTGGACTGTATTTTCCCTGCCTTCCCTGAACCTTTCTTGACCTAAGAAAAAAAAGAAACAAAATATCCCCCTCTAGTGGTTGAAGGCGGAATAGGAGCTTCCCATTAGTTTCTATGGACGGAAAAGAGCAGATACGGATCAAATGGTTTTCAATGCATTCCTATGGGACATGCAGATTTGACCTGAGAACTTTTTGACTTGAGAACCACCTTCCAATACAGATTCTCAAGTCAAGACCCCACTGTAGGTGCTAGAGACCTAATGGCAATATGAATTCTAGGATTCAGTTTGTGTTGATACTGCAAAGATTCATTCAAGCCTTCCACAGATGTTACAGCAGCATAAATAGAAGTTCCCACAGTTTAATTTCATACCATCTTGCTCATATGAAAATTACAAAAACAAAGCAGTCTCAAAAATGTGAAATCCGAGTGTGGGAGGAAAGCAAAGCATATGCCTTGATGGTCTACCTGTGTTCCAGAAAGATGTTTCTAAACTTACAGCTTCTGCATTTTCAAGAGGACTTCACATGGATGTGTAAATCTAAATAATTTGTGCACCTCACATGATAGTAAAAAAAGCATTGCTTAACCCACAAAAGAAATGTGTTGTATTTAACACTTCTCAAGAAATATTCAATACTCTTCTGCCTGACCTAGTATCATACAATCTTACACTGTATCTAATGCCAAAAGAAGCAAGCCCAATAATTTCAGCACTAGTGTAAATAGTGGAAGGCATCACTACTTTAAAATAAGGGCCATAGCACTAAATGGCATAGCATTTGTACATACATATTGGGTATAAACTATTGTCCACTGGCCCTTAGTTAAAAATGAAGGAAACATTATAACTAGAGATGGGGTATTCATGTTTGTATCCCTGGAGACACAAATATGAATAGCAGCACCACAGGCGCCACGGAAGTCCATTCCTTCCCCCCAGAACTGGCCAGTCCACTTACCATTTGGCACACGGTGTTTGGCTCTGTCATTGTCCTCACACCAATCATGGAGGGAGCCTGGCTGGCAATTCCCCACGTCCCCACATAGCCAACTACGATACGGGGGTAGGGCGGGGAGTATCTCTGTTCAGCTGATAAGTGGTCAGCTGCATGAGGAGGAGGGGAAGAGGTGGCCAGGCTTCTTCTGCAATTAGTGAGACAACGACCATGGAGTCACGTGCCACACAGCGAACAATGAGTGGACTGGCCAGTTCTGGAGGGAGGGAATGTACCTCTATGGCACCTGTGGTGCTGCTATTCATATTTGTGTCCCCAGGGATACAAACACGAATAGCCCATCTCTAATTATACCTCCTGCATGATTCAGAGAGCACAGCTCGATATATAAAAACTATTAACAATATGAATCATATCCTATATTAAAAACAATTTAATGCTCTTCATGCTGATCCTTGCATAGCCAAAATGGAACCAACTATTTGTAAGGGACAGATGGGAACTCCAGTTCCTACACAGGTATATAACAACCTCAAGAGTCTGTAGTCTGATTGTGTGTTTAGTCGTGTCCGACTCTTCGTGACCCCATGGACCAGAGCACGCCAGGCCCTCCTGTCTTCTACTGCCTCCCGGAGTTGTGTCAGGTTCATGTTGGTTGCTTCGCAGACACTGTCCAGCCATCTCATCCTCGGTCGTCCCCTTCTCCTCTTGCCATCACACCTTCCTAACATCAAGGTTTTTTCCAAGGACTCTTTTCTTCTCATGAGATGGCCAAAGTACTGATTAGTGCAAAGGAAAAAAAAATCTGAGGTAAAGCTACAAATCACGCTGGAAGATATTTATGGAAACTTATTTTCCTACTTCTTTGGGAAACATATTTTCCTGCTTCTCCAGCTCTTGTGATATTTGCAAGAATCAATCACAAGCAGAAAAAGCAACTTTCCTAGGAGGTTAGTGTTATCACACTAGAATGTGTGGTAGTACAGTTAAAGTAGGTTGTCTATACTGAGAAACTGAAGATTTGTGTTTCTGTACAAAGAATTCAGAGAAGAATTCAGAGCATTACCAGTTCTTGTGCTCCATGTACACAGGTAAGAGGGACAGAAATTTGGTAGGAGAGACAAAACACCATAATGATCAGGGACGCCAGTCCGATTGAGAACCAGTACGAGTAGATTGACAGTGCCAAATTATCTGTCAGTTTACAGTCTATTTTACAGGGTGGGTGTAGAAAGAGTTTTGGGGGTTGAGCAGAGACAAACTCTAAGGGACAGGAAGAAAAAGGGAGGAGTTTCTACTAAAAAAAGAGGAGATTTCAAGAGGAAAGCCTTGACAGGTATTGACAAAAGCAAGTCTCCTGTATCTATGTTAGTTGGAACTCTCAACTGTGAAATGTATTTAAAAAGCCATTCAATTGTAAATACCATGTTTTCCCATTAAAATGCCATCGTGCAAACTTAACAGCAGCTTTTGATATGTCACAAGTATAGCAATCAACACGTGGAAAGACTTTCTAAAAAGAATTTGTTTAGCACTACATATTCTGGATGTATTCTGGTGAACACTCATTGCCTCAAAGCTGTGAATTTTATTTAGGTAACTACATCTCAGAATTCTTACCCTATCTGTTGTACTGAAGGAACAAATGGCAAAGATCATGGCTGCATCCCAAACCCACCTCCTTCCATGTAGTAGGAGTAGCAACTAAATGACACTAATGAGGATAATCACACTAATGAGAAAAGAGAGGATGATACTGACCTACCCAGTAGGACTAAAACAGTATGCTTTCGTGTCCAATAACTGCAGTTGCAAAAGCCATGATATCATCCACAGACTATTACGCTGGGACAAGTGCATCTCATTCATACACCTATAACCAATCAATTCATTTACATGGGCGCACACCCACACAGTCACCTCATATTCATATGCATCTTCTCATATTCATCTGACACAGTCGATGCTCTTTGCTCTTCCCCTGATACTCATACTCCCAAACCTGCTCGCCCTGCTGCTGAAGTCTATTAATTCCTTTCACTGGGCTGATCTTATCCTCCCTGCCCCAGCCTTAGCTATTGTCGTTCAGCTCGCTAACTCAGGCCAGCAAGCTGCTCGCTCCCTTGCTCTTTTTTCTCTGTGGTTTGAAGAAATCTAACTGTACTGGAGTGGAGCCTTCCAAAAGAGGGTGAGAAGATATTGGAAAATGATTTACATGAGGGTGCCCCCCCATCTA